GCTAGGACGAAACGAACATGAAAGCCACGAAGTGCGATAGGGTTGCAACTTTCCAACGTTATGAATGCCTTTTTGGAGCTCTGGTGCAAGACTTCCCCACAAAAACGACGCCGTTCGTAACGTTGAAGCTTCTTGAATAAAGAATATTTGAATATTCTTATTTAAGCGTTTCCAACGTTACGAACGGCGTCGTTTTTGTGGGGAAGTCCTGCACCAGAGCTCCAAAAAGGCATTCGTAACGTTGGAAAGTTGCAACCCTATCGCACTTCGTGGCTTTCATGTTCGTTTCGTCCTAGCCAGGCTAGGACACAAAAAATCATAACGTTGGAAAGTGTGAAACTCTTGCCCGGAATCACGATGCATCTTGCCAGAACACCACTCCCAGGCCACATCGTGAGTGCCCGGAGCCAACAGTAGGCCACTTTGTGCTCTTCGCGTTCCCAGAACACCACTCCCAGGCCACATCTTGGGTGCCCGGAGCCAACTCTAGGCCATTTTGTGCTTTGCTTTGCGTTGCTTTGCATTGCTGAGACCCCTGAGACCTGCGACACCTGTCGGTCCTGTGGGACCTGCGAGACCTGCGAAACTGGTGGGACCTGTGGGACCTACGACACCCGAGGAGCTTGCAACACCTGTGGGACCTGGGGGACCCCTGTGGCCTGTGGGACCCGTGGGACCTGCAAAACCTGTGGGACCCGCAACACATGTGGGACCTGCGGAACCACTGGGGCTTGTCGGACCTGCGACACCCGTGGGACCTGGGGGTCGTCTGTGGTCCGTGGAACCCTGTGGGACGCCTGAGAGCCAGCCGAAGCAACGCGTGAATGCGGCAGGCATTTGAAGGTGGCAGAAGCGAAAAGTGTCGGGAAATGTACGAGCTTAGCGTAGTCTTGGGGCCCGTAACAGCGTAGTCTTGGGGCCCGTAACAAAATGGCAGCCTTCCAGCAACGCTAACTTAGTATCCCTTATGCGCTACTTACGTGATATTGAACAAACGAATAGTAGCCAGCGTGGCCCCCGAACGTCGATGTCTTGCAATCCACGCGGTGCAATCTAGGCGGTGCAACGCATGCTATGCAACCTAGGTAGCGCGAGCCACGCGGTGCAGTTCATGCAACGCACAGCGACGCCAAGCAACGCTAAGCAATGCAAAGCAACCAAACCAAAGCACAAAATGGCCTAGAGCTGGCTCCGGGCACCCAAAATGTGGCCTGGGCATTGTGTTCTGGGAACACGAAGAGCACAAAGTGGCCTACTGTTGGCTCCGGGCACTCACGATGTGGCCTGGGAATGGTGTTCTGGCAAGATGCATCGTGATTCCAGACAAGAGTTTCACACTTTCCAACGTTATGATTTTTTGCGTCCTAGCCTGGCTAGGACGAAACGAACATGAAAGCCACGAAGTGCGATAGGGTTGCAACTTTCCAACGTTATGAATGCCTTTTTGGAGCTCTGGTGCAAGACTTCCCCACAAAAACGACGCCGTTCGTAACGTTGAAGTTTCTTGAATAAAGAATATTTGAATATTCTTATTTAAGCGTTTCCAACGTTACGAACGGCGTCGTTTTTGTGGGGAAGTCCTGCACCAGAGCTCCAAAAAGGCATTCGTAACGTTGGAAAGTTGCAACCCTATCGCACTTCGTGGCTTTCATGTTCGTTTCGTCCTAGCCAGGCTAGGACACAAAAAATCATAACGTTGGAAAGTGTGAAACTCTTGCCCGGAATCACGATGCATCTTGCCAGAACACCACTCCCAGGCCACATCGTGAGTGCCCGGAGCCAACAGTAGGCCACTTTGTGCTCTTCGCGTTCCCAGAACACCACTCCCAGGCCACATCTTGGGTGCCCGGAGCCAACTCTAGGCCATTTTGTGCTTTGCTTTGCGTTGCTTTGCATTGCTGAGACCCCTGAGACCTGCGACACCTGTCGGTCCTGTGGGACCTGCGAGACCTGCGAAACTGGTGGGACCTGTGGGACCTACGACACCCGAGGAGCTTGCAACACCTGTGGGACCTGGGGGACCCCTGTGGCCTGTGGGACCCGTGGGACCTGCAAAACCTGTGGGACCGGTGGGACCCGCAACACATGTGGGACCTGCGGAACCACTGGGGCTTGTCGGACCTGCGACACCCGTGGGACCTGGGGGTCGTCTGTGGTCCGTGGAACCCTGTGGGACGCCTGAGAGCCAGCCGAAGCAACGCGTGAATGCGGCAGGCATTTGAAGGTGGCAGAAGCGAAAAGTGTCGGGAAATGTACGAGCTTAGCGTAGTCTTGGGGCCCGTAACAGCGTAGTCTTGGGGCCCGTAACAAAATGGCAGCCGTGGATGTAAAAAATTAACGCGAAACCCATCCGTAACATTGAATTCCGCCATTCAAAGATATGGAACGCAAGCTAGGCATGAACGGCCCCAGGTTGAAAAAAGTGTTTCCGTGTTTCGCGTTTATTGTTTACATTTTCGCGGGCAGCTGCCGATCTTGCCCTACCTGGAACTCGCGGCCTTTGAATGGCGAAATCCAATGTTATGAATAAATTTCGCGTTTATTGTTTACATCCACGGTACTACTGCTACTACTACTACTACTACTACTACTACTACTACTACTACTACTACTACTACTACTACTACTACTACTACTACTACTACTACTACTATTACTACTACTACTACTACTACTACTACTACTACTACTACTACTACTACTACTACTACTACTACTACTACTACTACTACTACTACTACTACTACTACTACTACTACTACTACTACTACTACTACCACCTACTACCACCTACTACTACTACTACTACTGCTACTACTACTACTACTACTACTACTACTACTACTACTACTACTACTACTACTACTACTACCACCACCACTACTACTACGACTACTCTTCCACCGCCAGATGGGGGGAGGGTGAAAAGGGGGGAGGTGGGGGAATGCGATGCCAAGAGTTATCCCGCGTGGCCCCTGGGTTGGGTTTCCGTGCGCTCGCCATCCAAAGGCACCCATGCCACAAAATAATGTATCGTCATATTCATTGTCAGTACCAACCACGTGTTCGGTGAGCTCCAGCCGCATGGCGACGATATGGTCCCCATCGCGAAATCAAACTTCACATGGGCGCCTCCTACTACCGCAAGAATGCGTTGCCGATGAAGGTCCGTCGCTCGCTCCTGGAGGCTGCCGCGCCAGACTTGTACCCGATCCATCGCATCTCTGGGATGCCAGAGGAGGCCCTCGATGCGATCCTATACTTGGCCACGGGGCTCGACCCTGACACGAAGGTCTCCCATTTCGGCAGGGACATCACGCGCGGGGACCTGCGCAATGCCATCCACAAGCAATCGAAAATGATCCTCCACTCCGACCCGCACCGCCAGACGCACCTGCGCAACCACCTCCTGCAGTTCATCTACGGTACCATCGTCGACGACTACGGCTACCCTGAGATGTTCCTGAAGGCCGCTAAGCGTGGGGCACCGCCACCGCCGCCGCAGCTTCCGAACCAGGCCGTCGCCAACGCTTCTTCGAGTTTCGCAAGTGACTCCGAAAGTGATTACTAAGCCTCGAGCCTCAATCCATAGGCTTGACATCTGCTGAGCCTCAATCTTCGGCGCATAGGAGTCTCACGAAGCCGGTTTGCGTTAACATTCGGTGTTGGGTTGTCTTCGGAAACAACAGGTCCTGGGGCCGTGTCTTCATGCATTCAATTGTTGTTGTGGGCGGAACTTCATGTGGGAGGTTGTTCGTTGGAACCGTCGATTGCCAGTGGTCGAGCCCCCAGGGTACTCAAGTAAGCACCGAAAGAGGCTTGTGCAGCACGCGGAACGAATGGCGACGGCACCATGCCTGCCAGATTTTTTCTCGCTAGTAGGTCGCCCCGCACTTTCGCTATCTTCGGAGCCGATGCCTGCAATGGGGTGTGATGCATCGCCGAACGATTGGCACGCCTAGCTGTTCCAGAAAGTTTCTGCGGAGTGTGGTCACGCCTCAGCGGTCGCCGTCATTGCGTCTGTTTCGGCCCCGCCGTGACCTCCGTAGCCCCGCCTCAGAAACGTTTCGGCCTCGTCGAGGCACCCTCCAGAGCTTCGAAGTATTCCTCGAAATCGAGGGGGCACGGTCGACGCCGCTGACGACCCCAAATGGACGCTGCGGGCGATGACGGAGGAGGAAGAACATATGATACCTAGGACGAGCAGGGGTGGGCGACCAAGGACGACGAGGACGAGAGGTGGCGGCGTCGGCGCCGACGTCGACGTTGACGACGGCTCGACGAGGAGGGCGACGACCGACAACGCCAAATGGTGTTTCTACGACGCGTTCGTTTCGACATCGGGGGTCGAGGGTTTATCGTTCTGGAGTGGTGAATTCGGTCGATCCCCCTTGTGCGTTACCCTCCTCGTCCTCCTCCTCCTTCTCACCATCCGTTGCTCGAGGGGGGCTGCAACCTCTCCTCAAGCTTTGCTCTAGTGGTGTCGGCCCCTACGTATGTGATGCAACTCATGTCTTGTTTAGCAGTGGCCCGTTTCGTTGGGTCGTCGTCGTCGCCGTCGCGCGCTGGGTCGAGAGCCGCTTCGTGGCCCATCGAGGGGCCCGTGGGCCTAAGGCGGCCTGTGGCCCGAGGGGCGCACAATCGCCCTTTGGCGCCCCTCGCGTGTTTGGCGCGCATCATGCGTTCCGATCCACTCGGAAACGTAAGTGCGCAAACATGCACGAGGGGCGCCAAAAAGCGAATGTGCGCCCCTCGAGCCAATCCGTGCACAATGCACGCCTCAAACGCCAGTGTCCCTTTCCGTAGCCATCTTGGCCCAAGCATCGGGCTTCAGACATTCGTCTTCTCTTCGCGCGTGCTGGCCAGCCAGAGACATGGCCAGCCAGGCCGATCTCACAAGTCTACTGCTTCGCATTGCCATGTATCAGATGGGCCAGCCTGCGCAGGCCGCGCCGCCCCAGCCAGTCCAGCCGCCGCCACCCGCGACGGACATCGGGCAGTTGGCACTGCTGCTGTCAACGCAGCAGGCTGCGCAGAGCCAGTCTGCGCACGCGACGGCGCAGCCGACGCCGGGCCCAACGGCGCAGGATGCGGCTGCCTCGCAGTCCGCCCTGGGCAACCCCGATGAGACATCTCCTTGCAAGCTCGTGTTCGGCGACGAGTCCCAGCGGGTCTCCACGTCCTACCGCTACCTCGGGGCAGCGTGAAAGTTCAATGCGCGGACAGTCCTCCCTCGGAAGATGAAAGTGCAGGCGTTGCAGTCCTACGACTGCAAGCGCTTCTCGCCGATACTCCTCAGCGGCCTCGACGACGACGCAGTGGACGAGCTGGTCTTCATCGCTAGCAGCCTGGGCCCCGAGACGCGCATCAAGGACTTCACGGCGAAGAACAAGGGGGAGATGAGGGAGGCGATCGCAGCAGAGATCGCCAGGACCATCAGCGTGTACCCGATGCGCCTCAACGACCTGAGCGCCGACCTCGACAACACGAACGTCATCGCGAGGCGCTTCGGCTACCCCGTCGAGCGCATGCCCGTCTCTCGCAGGGGCGGCCTTGTCGAGGGCGGCAGCGCCCAGCAGCAGGCCCCCCAGGTGGCGCGGGTCGCCGCCCCAAGCATGAAGGAGGTGGTGAAACCAGCAAAGGCACAGGTGGCGCCGAAGATGGTTAAGGAGCCCGCTTTCACAAACCAGGCGGAATTCGAAGGAGCTCTTCGACGATATGGAAGAACCAAGTTCGGCCGCGGCCGCGGCCGCGCACGAGTCCGGACACGGCCCCGCCGCAGCCAGGCCGCCCCACTGGCGTCGTCGCAGCCAGCGTCCCCTTCCAACTTCATCCCGTTCAAGGGCAAGGGGCTCGAGCTCACGCCTGAGGGCAAGTTGGAGCTGTCCCCCGAGCTTCTACAGAACCTCGTCCAGCAGTCAGCGGATCGGAAGCCAGCTGAGCCCGCGCCCAGCGCGCCCGAATCTCTTCCCGAGCAGCCCCCCGAGAAGAAGTGCAAGACGGATCCCGCGAGTGCGGGCGGTGCTGGCTCTTGAGCTGTGCCCCGAAGGGGCAATGCCGTCGGCCGAGGTGCTGCGGCGAACGTATGGTCAGTCACATTGCACAGTTTTTGTTCAACGTAGGATGGTTGATCAAATCGTACAGCAGCCATAATAGCATATCATAACACCCACGACGAAACATGTTGAGGTGCGTTGACCAGCCTGGCGTCTCTTTATTTTGAAATTCGGCTGCCGCCTGCTCGCCCGCACTTGGCGCTCGGGGCCTCGCATTCGAGAATGAATGCGCGCGCCAGGTACTGTCGGGCAGGGACAAGCAAGCGGGCAGCGGCCGAGCTCGCGAGTGCTAGGGCAATCGCGACTGCACCGTCCCAGAGAAGAGCATGTAGATTCGCAGACTCCTGCAATAAACCGCCCCATCGGGCCAGCCCTGATCCATTGAGTGCTCACTGGGGTAGGTGCCGATATGCAACTTCAACGCCCTTCGAGGTTGCAGTGTCTCTCAGTGCCATATCGGCGCCTTCTTTGTGCCATCGAGGTCCCCATCGCACAAGTACCATCAGTGGGGGGCACTTTAGTGGGGCCTATCTCTGTACCCATCGGTGCTAGATGTGTTTTTTTTTGGGGGGGGTCATCTCGGCGACGATCGTTGCAACGTTCGGTTGGGTGCCATATTGGTGCCATATCGGTACAATGCCGACGCCACCTCGGTGCAACAATTGCATCGCTCCATATATGCGCATCTTGTTACGCATGTCGGTTCCAATCGTTGCAAAATGAGTTCGGTCCCGTCTTGGTACTACCAATAGTTGCCACATATGCTTGGCCCCTTTTGCGGGTCTGTCTTGGGCCGCCTCGGAGCCCCCGTCGGGGCATAGCACGTGGCCTTGAGGGTCGGCGGCGTTCGAGCCAGGGCGCTCTTGGACTCTGGGGCCCTCTTCCATCCTCCCCCCTCTTCCAGCCTCCACCCTCATCCATCCTCCACCCTCTTCCATCCCCCACCCTCTTCCACCTTCCTTCCCCACCCATTCCATTTCCTCCGACCGCAGCCATTTTGGCTCAAACACTGGCGTGCTGGAGGCATCGCGTCTAGCCGCGATGTCAGCCCTCGGGGCGCCATCGACTGGTCGATGGGCGACCCTGGCCAGGGCGGACGGCGGACGCGGCCGCCCACGTCCGCCAACGCTTTCGCCCTGGTGCTGAGGCTGTGTCGGCATTTTGCTGCAGAGCGCTCGCCGTCGGCATGGAATCCTACATCCTCTTCCGCCACATCCCAGCGCAGAGCCCGTCCATGCAGGACCGACTGGAGGAGCTGAGGTGCGCGGAGCGCCGTCGACGCCTCGACCCCCAAGCGATCGCCGCCGCCATCCGGAGAGCAACCAGACTGTCACAGCGGTGATAGGAGCGAAGGGCGAAGGACCCTGACAGCAAGATCAGCTACGCGATGACGACGATGCACAGAGACTTGATGAAGGGTGCCTTTAAGGGCGCGCCGTCGTTGGCAATGACGTGGGACCCAGGTGGGTATTCGCGGCGGAGCTACAACATTGGCTTGGTCGCTCAGACCGCAGTCCCTGGGGAGCCCATCGCTGGTGACATGTGCCCGAAGGCGCGATCTGCAGCAATCAATTGGTGGCCTCAGTGGGGCGCCCCCTCCGACGAAGCCACAGGAGGGCCGTTGCCCTCCAGTGGGGAATCCTCTTAACGACGCAGGGGGGGACGCGGGTTAGGCTCCCTCGGGGGCCTGGAAATTCTGGAAAAAAACATGGGGATTTCTCTTAAAACCCTGATGCAAAACTCTGAAAAACCTGATGTAGAAATCTCCCCAGGTGTTTGCATCACGTTTCTGAATGATGCGAGGTGGCCTTTGGGCGGCCTGACCTTGATCTCCCCTCAGCTTTCCCCGCAGGGGGCGGGTCGCCTCGGGTCGGCCCTCGGCGGGCCTCACCTCGGCTCCCGCGCGCGGGGGAGGTCGAGCAACCCCGCCCTTCCAGGGGGGGGCGCCCTTGCTTTTCCATCGGGCCGCGGGCGGCCTGGGGGAGGGCCTGCAGGGCCTAGGGCCCGCCTCGCATCACGACGTTGGCAGATCTTATCTTCAAGGCGATACGCAAGAAAGTCGACTTGCAGTTCATCGCTGAGGACCCTGAGCTTGCCGAGGTGTGGGCCTCGGACAAGCTGGACAGGGAGGCTGCGTTCTTGAACATGTGCGTTGTCCTCACGGAGCTCGTCCAATTGACTGGGCGACCGCTTGCCGACTTCTGCCTCGCACCTTGCCTGAACTTACGGCCAGTGCAGAATGGTGAGAAACGAATGCCATGGGACGGAGCGCAGCTACTCTTCAACCGGGATCAGCGCGAGGCTTCAGTGGAGATACCGCCTCATCTATGGACGTTCAAGTTCCCGATTGTCTCGCATACGACGGACCGCAGCTCAATCAATTCATCATTGTTGCACTTCCTTATTGCTGAGAAGTACTTGTTCGTTCCTTGGTTCGACCCGCTGCACGCATTGTGGAATGCTTTGAAGAACAGCGCTAAGCGCGTTGGGCCTTGGTCAGGGAGGCCAAAGGGACACGTGTGGAAGAGGGTGTTGAGTTCGTGACGATCTGCAACATGAATTCAGGGCCGTATCGATCAGGACAGTGGTTCGGCCTCAAGAAGGAGAGACACCAGCGTAGGAGGGCAAGCGGCCATCACCCCACGGGAGCGGCGAGGGGGGAGGGGCGGGAACGGAAGGGGCCGAACGACTCACCCGAGTTCGCGCAGGGGCTGGGGGAGCAAGGGGCGTCGGGTGCGAACAGTCATCCAGGGTCAGGGGTGGGGCGTTGGGGGTGGGCCTTCTGGCGCGAAACCGACAATGGAAACCAAACCTTTCGGACGTCAAATCTTAAATCCGCTTGCCTTTCCCCCCCCCCATCCAACCTGGAAGCCCCAGGTGAGTTGTTCGGCGCCCGTCCTCCCCCCCCTCCTCGCCCTCCTCAGTGGGGCGCGTGGGGCGCTTGCCTGCCTAAAGGAGTCCTGCCGTCGGTGGTGCCAGCTCTACAACGAGTCATCGCCAGAGTTCTTGGCGGTGGCGCAGAAGTTCGGCGACGCACTTGGCGTGGACTCTTCGTCTGCATCAGGCCTTGCCGAGATCTTCGGCAGGATGGGCAAGCTCCGCAGTTGCCACGAGGTCGGGCCTCATTTAAAGTTGATGCGCTTCGTGAGCATCAACGACTGCTGGGAGTGGCACAGGAAGGAGCTGCGGGGCCTTCGGGCCGTCCTGAAGTTGATGTCCGACGAGCACGGCAAGGGGGGCGGGCTCTCCACCATGGTCCACGCGGGCACCAGTCGGGGGGCCACGGACGGAGACGTCCAGCAGGAGATTTCGAAGCAGGCGGGCACGGTGAAGAGGGCCTACAGCTTCATCACTGATGACTTGCACAGCGCGCTATCCATCTTTTCGGTGGCGACTAGCTCGCAGCGGCAGGAGTACGGCCACAGGTCGAGCCAGGTCAAGACCATCGCCCAAGGGATGGATTACGACTACAAGCTGCAGACTGGTGCCTGGAAGCTCGAGTTCAGGCAGACGGTCATCACGTGTATGAACGACGTGGCGAAGATCAGGGACGTGGGCTTGCTCGCGACTGGCGACCCGAATGGCCAGCGCGGCGCCGAGGCATTCGAATTCATGATGAGGGTGTTGAAGGAGAGGTACGATTCCATCGCGCCAGAGCTCTTCTGCTATCCAGGGAAGTTTCGGATGGCACTTGGTCGGACTATGAGCTCCCAGGAGAGGCTGAAAGTGAGGCGAGGTATCATCAACTTCGACTGGAGGCTCATCTTGGAGGTGGAGAAGGCGACATTGTCCAGACCAGACGCGCAGCAGCTCGTGGGCGACATATTCTGGTTGAAATGGCCGATCAATCGACTTGCATTTTGCCAGAACGAGCGGGAATTGGGTGCTCCTGGCCTCGACGACATCACCGATGGGTTCATTCGAACTGCGAGTGCCGCCTTGGAGCACTGGCCAGATTCCAAAGGGCCAGAGGACGTTCACCAACATATTCGAGACGAGGGCCGCGCCAAAAGGGAACCTACCATCGGCCCGACTCGCCTGTACCGGGCACAGCAGGAGGGCAACATCGCGGGCTCACGCGGCATGAAAACGTTTCAGTTGAGCGACGAGGATGTGTCCAGGAACATTTGCCATCGCGACCAGCAGGTCTCCGTCGCCAAGGAGTTCCGAGGTGACCAGGATATAGTGCCACATGCACTCCGACGAATACTTGACAGAGGCCACGAGTACAGCTCACCGAATGGACAATCGTATGCAAAGGCGTGCTCAGCATGGTCATGGATTCAGGCATGGGCGAAAATGGGAAGCGATCGTCCAAATCTTTTGAGCTCGTGGCATGGCAGGATGGTCCCAGAGCTAAGTATCTATACTGTTGCATGAAGCCTCTGGTTCGTCTATGGTGGTCGTCAGTCAACAACTCTGGAGTCTATTCGTGCGCGACCTCGACCGTGGCCAGAAAGGCGACGTGAGTTATTTCAGAATGCGGTCCGACGCGGGCGCGTTCCACGACTATTACGTGACCAACCCTACGAACTACAAGGTGGCGAACATCTCCAAGGTGACGTTTCTCGCTGGCGTTGGCAGGGTGCTCTTGGTGTCGGAGGAGCCCATGACGCCGCTGGCGGCGTCGTTGCTCGCAGGCGCGCCCCTGGCCCTGGACCACATGAAGAATATCGCGGACGTGATGGGCTTGCACCTCGACGACGCTGCAACGGCTTCGGCGGGGGCTGCTCGCGAGAAGCTGATTGAATTGACATTCGCAGGATTCCCAGACCTCATCGCGAAGTGCGCAGCCGCCCTCCACAAGCAGGGCGACTTCGGCGCGGAGGAGCTCGGGGATGATTTCATGAACATGCTCGATGAGATCCTGGCCCACGACGCCCAGAATTGCAACGAGATCCAGACGTTCCGCACGGCGTTGAAGCAGCAGAACTTGAAGCGAATGGCCGAGAAGAGGAAAGGGAG